ACACCCCACAAAACAACCCCCCCTCCCCACACACACACACCCACTCAAACACGCCCACACAATATACGCACACACGACCACACACGAAACACCAACGCGCACAAACACACAAAAATACATCGAACACCCGCCAACTAACCACACATCCACCCACACACACACGCACACCACACACTTGCCACAACCCAGACATCCAGACACAACCCACACTAGGACACAAACACCCACACCTTGAAAAAACACTTACACAGACCCACACCATCACACACAACACACACGCCCATACAAACACACACACACATACAATAGCACACCGACCACTCACACAAACACACTCACACACAAACACACACACAAATCTCAACACCTGTTCCACTCACACACCCACAAAACACACACTCGCACACACCCACCCACACCAGCACACCTGAGAAACACCAACACACTTGAACAAAAAACAAAAAAAAAAAAAAACAAAAACACAACCAAACAAAAAAATGCCAACACCCAAGAAAAAAAAACACACACACGCGCAAACAACAAACACAAAAACAAACACACACCTAGGCAAACAATCACACACACACAACACACCCTACACACACACACACACACAAGTCCAACAACGCCACCCACCCACACCCACCCATACACACACCAACACACACACACACACATAGCCACACACACACCGACACCCACCCACACACCCACATACACACACCTACACACCCACGCTCACACGCACACACCCACGCATGCCCGCCCGCTCGCACACACGCACACCTCACCAACACACATACACACACTCGCACACCCGCAGATCCACACACAAACACATACACCCACCACACACACACACCCACGCTAGAACTCATGCACGCTCGCACCCACACAGGCCTGCACCCTCGCACGCCCTCACGCCCGCACGCGCTCACATACAGACACACTACATGTGTGTGGTGTGTCTTATATATATATATATATATATATATTAATATTATTTATATTTCATTTTTAATTATATTTTAAATTTAAGAAAGGAATTATTTTTATATATATTATTTATATTTCCTTTTAATTATATTTTAAAATTAAGAAAGGAATTATTTTTAAATAATGTAAAAAAATGTATTTAATATTTTTATTTTATTTTTACTTATGTTTTAAAGTAGAAAAAAAATTCATATTCTTAAAGTGATTATAGTATAATCGTTCATTATTTTATCTATATCATTATATAAATATAAAGAGAAATTTCTATTTTAATGTCCATATTTATTTTTTTATTTTACTTTTTAAATAATTAATTTTTATAATAAAAATAATTATTTTATCAATTTTATCTATTGTTTTCTTTTTAAGTTTAATTAGTTTTTTCTGTTTGATTGTTTATCACTATAATAAATTTTTTATATAATGATCCATTGACAAAAAATATATTTGGAAACCAATTCTCTAATTAAAAAACAATTAAAATAAAGAAGAGTGAACGCTATGTGCATTCGTTTTTAAAATACGATTATTGAGATATTTTTTAAAATATATAGAGACACCAAGGAATCTATTTTCTGTAGCATTATAATAAAGTTTTGTAACTTATGTTATTAAATTATTTAAAGAAATTCAAAATATAATTTAAAATAATTATTATAAAATTTAGTGAATAATATCACGGGTTGAATGATTGAATGAAAAGGGCACGTGAAAACTGAAAGGGTTCATTGCAATGACACGAGTAAGAGTTGAATACGCCATAGTATCTTATCATCTGCCACAGGTTCGTTAGTTGTTAATCTCTTTGTGTTGAGGATTCAGAAATTTTGAATCTTACGGCTGTAGGCGAATGACAGTGAAAACTGTGTCTCCAAATTTTGCATGTAAGTTTCTTTTCATTCTGCTCTATCCTTGCGACCTCATTTATCATTTATTTTAGTTTCTGTTGTGGTAATTCATACTTTCTTCTCTATTATTGTTCTTTTCTTGGTTTGATCTCTTTGGTGATAGGCTTGAAACTAAATGAATCTGCTTTGTCTCTATTAATGATTTGAATAATTGTACTTTCTTCAATTTCTTTTACAAAAAACAAAAAAAACTAATTAATAATAAAGTTCCTAAATTGCGCATTAGATGTTTCACGCCAATACAATATGTGAATCCTATGTTCAATGAATGTGTTGCAGGAGGTAGTTTTTTTCTTTGGGCTGAAACATGTTTGCTGATAATACTTTGACGGCTGCTCGTGCGGATCTGGCAGCTGCTATAGTTCCATTGTTGAAGCTGCTATGCCTTACAGTCATAGGGCTAGTTCTTGCAAACCCAAGAATGCAATTCATTCCTAGAGCTACGTTTAAACTTCTTAGTAAACTTGTGTTTGCCCTGTTCTTGCCTTGCCTTATATTTACTGATCTAGGTGAAAGCATTACTCTTGAAAATTTTGTGGATTGGTGGTTTATCCCTGTTAATGTGTTAGTGAGTACAGCTATTGGATGCTTACTCGGGTTCTTAGTGGTGATCATATGTAAACCACCTCCAGAGTTAAACTGATTTACTATTATAATGACGGGATTTGGTAACACTGGAAACCTCCTCCTTGCTGTGGTTGGATCTGTTTGCCATAGTGATGATAATCCATTTGGGAAGCATTGCAACACTAGAGGGGTGACATATGTTTCTTTATCTCAATGGGTTTCTGTTATCCTCGTATACACTCTTGTTTATCACATGATGGAACCTCCTATGGAGTATTACGAGATTGTTGAGGAAGGGATTGAAATCGAGGAAGAGCAAGTATTGAATGATATCAGTAGACCACTCCTTGTAGAAGCTGAGTGGCCTGGCATCGAGGATAAAGAGACTGAGCATTCTAAGACTCCGTTTATTGCTAGGATATTTAAAAGCATCTCAGGTATATCCCCGTCCAATATTCCTGAGCTTGAAGTGACATCAGAAAGTGGTGGGAATAGTCCAAAATCCATTAGGTGCTTGGCTGAACCTAGAGTTGTCAGGAGGATCAGAATTGTTGCTAAACAAACTCCCATTCAGCATATACTTCAACCCCCAACACTTGCCTCTCTATTGGCTATTATTGTTGGCACAGTGCCTCAGCTTAAGGCTCTGTTCTTTGGATANCGATTTACTATTATAATGACGGGATTTGGTAACACTGGAAACCTCCTCCTTGCTGTGGTTGGATCTGTTTGCCATAGTGATGATAATCCATTTGGGAAGCATTGCAACACTAGAGGGGTGACATATGTTTCTTTATCTCAATGGGTTTCTGTTATCCTCGTATACACTCTTGTTTATCACATGATGGAACCTCCTATGGAGTATTACGAGATTGTTGAGGAAGGGATTGAAATCGAGGAAGAGCAAGTATTGAATGATATCAGTAGACCACTCCTTGTAGAAGCTGAGTGGCCTGGCATCGAGGATAAAGAGACTGAGCATTCTAAGACTCCGTTTATTGCTAGGATATTTAAAAGCATCTCAGGTATATCCCCGTCCAATATTCCTGAGCTTGAAGTGACATCAGAAAGTGGTGGGAATAGTCCAAAATCCATTAGGTGCTTGGCTGAACCTAGAGTTGTCAGGAGGATCAGAATTGTTGCTAAACAAACTCCCATTCAGCATATACTTCAACCCCCAACACTTGCCTCTCTATTGGCTATTATTGTTGGCACAGTGCCTCAGCTTAAGGCTCTGTTCTTTGGATATGATGCTCCGTTATCTTTCATTACAGACACTTTGGAGATTGTAGCAGCGGCAATGGTACCTTCTGTGATGCTTGTACTGGGGGGTATGCTTGCTGAAGGACCAAATGAGTCTAAACTTGGGCTTAAAACTACTGTTGGTATTACTGTGGCAAGACTTCTGGTGCTTCCTGTCCTGGGAATTGGGATTGTGACTTTGTCAGATAAGCTAAATTTCCTAGTTGAGAATGATGCTATGTTCAGATTTGTGCTTTTGTTGCAGTACACTACACCGAGTGCTATTTTACTGGGGGCAATTGCCAGCTTAAGGGGTTATGCAGTTAGTGAAGCCTCAGCCCTTCTCTTCTGGCAGCATGTATTCGCCCTTTTATCCTTTTCATTGTACATCGTTATCTACTTCAGAATTATTATGTATGTGTGAAGTTGCAGTATACCTTGACGTTCATGATTTAAATTGTGTTTTTCTGGCTTGTTTTGGATTCACGATGAAATTGTTGATGCATGGTTCTTTCCTTGCAATAAACGTGCTGTATGTTGTAGTGCTTAATGCATATATGATCTCTTTTAGATACAAATCAATGATGAGTGAATTTCTTGAACTATGTGTTTGACATATGTAACTTGCTATGAGTTGCATTATTGTGACTTAATGCCATTGTGACAAATTCATTTGGAGTTTTAGTTTGGCACTGATGAATGTGGAAATATTTTTTTCCTACGATTTGGAACAGGATACGGCCAACTTTATTTATCTTTAGAAAATTTGTCTGATGAAACTGTTAAATTAGATGCAATTTCTACACTTTTGGAGCCTAACTAGCACATGTTACTCATTCATATCAGTAACTTCGTGCTAAGATGGTAATTTGAAGTTTCCCTTTGACTATTTAGCTAATTTGATTTGAACTTCACAGCCAACTATTTCTTCAAAAATTCTGCACAATTAAGGTTTATCGTGTGGTGTTTGTGTTGAAAATTGTTATTAATTTTTCTGGGGAAATGAAGTTCACTTTCCAAATCTCTGATAACGGAGATCACTGGATTTTTTTAGTTTATTCTCAATGTTATTAGTATTTTTTCCGTTGACATCCTTACCGTAAAGATATTGTATAAAAGATTCAAGCATCGAAAAGAAAGAGACGTGGGTTTGTGACATTATTATTTGCATATTTGGATGATTTGTTTCACCTTGATAATGATTAAGATAGTTTTGCAAAGGGAGGTGTTATGAAAGCTTAACTTTTCGTATTTCATGTTGGTGAAATTATGACGTTTTCCATTTTGAAACTTCGTTTCTCTGGATCAAATATTTCATGTTTCAAGATTCTTTAATGATTGATAATGGGAAGAATCAAGATATTCAATGGAGGAGTGATTCCCAACCACGCACCACCTATTTTTGTGGAAAATCTTGGGTATGAGAGTAAGAACACAACCATTCACAACTAAAATAAAAGATGAAAATAAAAGTAACAAAACAGATTATAGATAACAGGTAAAGAATGTAATTTTACTAAAGAAAAAAGAAAAAATACATATCATTCTCTCTGGTTCTAAGGAGGAAACAATAACAACTTTTTTCTTGGAAATAGAAAAAACAAATACAAGGAAAACTTTAAAGGAGAAACTAAAATTCTCTTTCTTAGAAGGAGAAAATAATATTCTCTTAATTCTTCTCTCAATCAATAAAGCAAAAGGAATGAAAACAAAGAGATTTTGGAATGTATTCTTAAAGAAATATTGGACTCCTTTTATAACATGAAAAGTAAGTTTCAGGTAAATTTTCAACTATGTGAGACTTTTTTTCTTACAATCTTCCACTTGAAAATTTTGATGAAATTAATCAAATCTTCACATCATGATTTATTCTTTGCCATTATGTTGCAACTCCCAATGTTCCTTTGATGTATCTTAGGATCCTCTTAATAGTACTTCGCATGGCCTATGAACCTACTAACCACTCTCACTGTTTGTGCAATGTTTGGTCTTATACAAATCATAGCATACATAAGGCTACCCACCACTAATGCATATGGTACTCAAGACGTCTCCATCTTCTCTGCTTCACTGCTAGGACTCATACGTGAGGAACAACTGATAGGAAGTGAGGGTAGACAATGGCTTGCAAGCTAGCATGTTGAAGTGCCCCAAGATTTTTAGTAAGTATTTTTTTCTGAGAAAGTCAAATCTTCCTAATGGTTTCTATCTTGATGAATTTGCATCCTTAAAATTTTGTTTGTCAATCCCAATTACTTATTAAGCTCCTAGCTAACAGTGTCTTAAATTTCTGGATTCAAACTTTGTTGGGGCCTACTTCCAACATGTGATCGACATACAACAACAAGATGATAAAATTATCCTACCCAAACCTATTGTAATAAGTACAATGGTCTAAACTCAATCTATTGTAACTAAGACTAATGATGAAGGAATCAAATCTCTTGTATGAACACCTAGGTGGCCACTTTAAACTATACAAAGATCTGTTCAACTTGCAAACCAAGTTTTCTTGTTTTTTAAAGCCTTCTGATTAGAACATCATTACATCATTGCTAACAATGACCTTGTGGGTAGTGGGACCCTATAGGCGATACTCCTTCACATTGTCAACATAGCCTAAAGACTTAATTCTTTTTCTAGTTTCAAGCTCTACTCATGCATTAGATTCCTTAAATATTGGTAATACATTTGACTTTCTCTTGATGAGATACACCCATAATCTCCTAGAGTAATCATCAATGAACAATGCAAAATATGTTTCCCCTCCTAAGAATAATATCAGAGATCTCCACATATAAGAATGAACCAAGTCTAATATGTGTTTGCTTGTGGTAGTTACTCTAGCAAACTTCAATCTATGTTGTTTGCTTATCACATAGTGCTTGTAAAAAGGTAAATCAACCTCTTTGAACTCAGGTAAGAGATTATGTTCCATAAGGGTTTGCAAACGTCACTCTGACATATGTCCAACAAGTCTACTTTTCACCTTTTTATATTTAATGTATGGTTAATGATGTTTTATACACTTGATAATACTATTTAATAATATAATAATATACTAATTTTATTTAATTCAATAGATTTTTGTTCTGTTTTAATTATTTTTCTCGATTTCATCATTATTTTATTAAAAAATTCAATATAGTTTTGTCTTTAAAAGAATGATGAAATATGAGAATACATCGTGTTTATTCCTTTAAGTAATCCTATATACTGATATAGATAAAGAAACACTTATGATAAATAATTAGTATTTCATTAAGGTAAATTTATTATAAGGTTAATCTAATATTAATTTAGGAACATAATCATCTTATATAATATTAGTATAGGATTACATAAACCTTTTAATTGTAATATAAAAATAATTAGATAGATTGATAGAAACAAGTCATAACATTTCTTTTAATTCAAATTCTTAAAAAAATAAGTATATTGTTTTGCAAACTTATTTTTACTCATGTGAGATTAAAATGACACTTAATTGAAATGATATATCAAAGTCAATCTAAGATATTGATATTGAAATGATAACTTTTTGAAAGGAGATAAGAATGATATGGAGAGTTGTAGTTATATTATCTAATGTTACTGATTTCCCATTGCCATCCTTCCAGCTAACTCACAACAACGGCTAAGCCAAGTTAGAAACCAACTTGCACACTAACGTGGGGTTAAGGTTGGTGATTAATTATTTGTTTGATATAGACTCATATTACCATCGTCATTGTTATCGCACATTTATATATCATTTTCGTAAACATGTCTTTTTTATTGTCATTATGGAAAAGTAGTGAGTTTTTGTCCTAATCTATCACTCACCATGCAATTCAGTGTCGGGATTTTGATGNTATAGGCGATACTCCTTCACATTGTCAACATAGCCTAAAGACTTAATTCTTTTTCTAGTTTCAAGCTCTACTCATGCATTAGATTCCTTAAATATTGGTAATACATTTGACTTTCTCTTGATGAGATACACCCATAATCTCCTAGAGTAATCATCAATGAACAATGCAAAATATGTTTCCCCTCCTAAGAATAATATCAGAGATCTCCACATATAAGAATGAACCAAGTCTAATATGTGTTTGCTTGTGGTAGTTACTCTAGCAAACTTCAATCTATGTTGTTTGCTTATCACATAGTGCTTGTAAAAAGGTAAATCAACCTCTTTGAACTCAGGTAAGAGATTATGTTCCATAAGGGTTTGCAAACGTCACTCTGACATATGTCCAACAAGTCTACTTTTCACCTTTTTATATTTAATGTATGGTTAATGATGTTTTATACACTTGATAATACTATTTAATAATATAATAATATACTAATTTTATTTAATTCAATAGATTTTTGTTCTGTTTTAATTATTTTTCTCGATTTCATCATTATTTTATTAAAAAATTCAATATAGTTTTGTCTTTAAAAGAATGATGAAATATGAGAATACATCGTGTTTATTCCTTTAAGTAATCCTATATACTGATATAGATAAAGAAACACTTATGATAAATAATTAGTATTTCATTAAGGTAAATTTATTATAAGGTTAATCTAATATTAATTTAGGAACATAATCATCTTATATAATATTAGTATAGGATTACATAAACCTTTTAATTGTAATATAAAAATAATTAGATAGATTGATAGAAACAAGTCATAACATTTCTTTTAATTCAAATTCTTAAAAAAATAAGTATATTGTTTTGCAAACTTATTTTTACTCATGTGAGATTAAAATGACACTTAATTGAAATGATATATCAAAGTCAATCTAAGATATTGATATTGAAATGATAACTTTTTGAAAGGAGATAAGAATGATATGGAGAGTTGTAGTTATATTATCTAATGTTACTGATTTCCCATTGCCATCCTTCCAGCTAACTCACAACAACGGCTAAGCCAAGTTAGAAACCAACTTGCACACTAACGTGGGGTTAAGGTTGGTGATTAATTATTTGTTTGATATAGACTCATATTACCATCGTCATTGTTATCGCACATTTATATATCATTTTCGTAAACATGTCTTTTTTATTGTCATTATGGAAAAGTAGTGAGTTTTTGTCCTAATCTATCACTCACCATGCAATTCAGTGTCGGGATTTTGATGTAAAATAATGAAAATCACTTCTGATTTTCATCAGTTAATCTACATATAAAATTTTAACAAAGTATACGTTGGACAAAAATCACACATTTTTTAATTTTCATTTATTATAATTATTATTACAAGGAAAAAATAAATCTTATTCCAACATTCTAATTAACATATAATATATCTTCGGTCTAGATTATTAAAACATATCCTATGTGTGGAAATGTAATAAAATAACTTTCTTAAAACTTCATTTTTATTGCATAAACATTATGAAGAAGAAACCTACAAATAATATTTGGTCTTTTCATACATCTTATATTAAATTGAATATCGATGGAGTTTAGTTAAACCATTATACAATGAGAATAAGCGAGATTATCACAATTAGTCAAAATGATTGCATCTTTAACT